TTTTTTGGAGATGTTTTTCAGTGTCATTCAACAGATTTGATCAATTAAGCCAAGACGTTTTTTTAAAATGTATTGTGTGTCATTCTCTAGGTGACTATCCAGCACCAAGAGCAGTTTTGACGGGTCATGACCAGGAAGTTGTTTGTGTGTCAGTTTGTGCAGAGTTGGGCCTGGTCATCAGCGGAGCCAAAGGTCAGTGTACTTTTTGGGTTTCCCTTTAATGCATCAGAGAGGAAGTGGGGGACACTGAGCTTTGAGCTGGCAGATTGGAATACCAACCCAAATAGATGGACAGGAATTAACTTCAATGAATTCCTGTCTATCTAGGTGGGTTGGTAATAGCCTAGTAAGCTTACGTGTGACATGTTTACCCAGCTGAACAGCATGCGAATGCCTCACAGGAAGAGGTGGAAGCAGGAATCTGTCTGCCTGCACGCTATAAAGTTGTAGACATTTCATTGTGTGATTTTATGAAGACATCATAATTGTTTCACATGACAGCAGTTTGCTCATATGTCTGTTTGTATGTCTATTCGGCAGAAGGTCCATGTCTGGTCCACACCATCACAGGGGACCTGCTCCGGGCTTTGGAGGGACCAGACTACTACCAGTACCCACGGCTCATCTCGGTCTCCAGTGAGGGCCACTGCATCATCTACTATGAGAGGGGGCACTTCTGCAACTTCAGCATTAATGGGAAACTACTGGCACAGATGGAAGTCAATGATTCCACCAGGGTAGGCTGACGTTTTCTACATCGTTGTCATCCATTATTGGTCTGACTCTACCGTTGTTCATCTAGAGTCTTGGATACTTAAACATGTCAAATAGTGGGCAGCAACACATCTTTGAGTGTACGCTTCGATTGAAAAAACGGAACCATTTTGAAATTGCTTTGCATTTTCACTATCAGGATAAGAATAATTGTTGAGGACTGCCTGAAAAAATTAATAGGTTAAAAAAATGTTATGAAAAAGGTTAGCAAGGTATTCAGTGAACAGAGAAATCTGACTGATACTTAATGCTTGAGGATCAAATACTTTACGAGGCCTGAATCATGATATAGTTTGTTCTCTGTTGACAAAAGTTAACTCGCCCCTGCGAGGGTTTTGATATGTAAATATAATTATTATTACCATTATCCATCGGAATTATGTACTTCGCTTATAGTGTACAAAGCAACTGCACATCTCCCCTGTATGCTATCCTCTCCAATGTCTGTGTTCAATTTGTGTATGTCTTCATGAGACGCTTCAGCAAGACTATTATCTTCAGAAGGTACAATAAAAGTTCATTTGGAAGTGACGTGTTGAACCGCTCTCTCTGCAGGCTATTCTCCTCAGCAGTGATGGCCACAACCTCGCCACGGGTGGAGACAATGGTGTGGTGGAGGTGTGGCAGGCCTGTGACTTCAAACCGCTGTACGTCTACCCTGGCTGTGACGCTGGCATCCGGGCTATGGACCTGTCTCACGACCAGAGGTCAGAGCAGCCAATTGGATTTTAATGTTGAGGCCACAAAGAGCTGCGACATTATATAAAGAAAACCCTATTAATTATCCGCCAGCGACTTACCAGATACCGTGGCCAACGGGCCGAATGTGGCCTTCGCACCTGCTAAGCATTCACTTATCTCAAGGTTATATTTGAAGACACATATCTGATTGTATATTTGTATATGTGTATTACAGTGCATCCAGAAAGTATTCACAGCGCTTCACTTTTTCAACAGTTTTCACTTTGTCATTATGGGTTGTTGTGTGTAGAATGTTGAGGAAAAAAATTGTATTTTTAAAATAGTCACACAAAAACATTATACCATTGCATGTCACCACCAAATGTGGTGGTGTATCATATCTAAGTTCTTTGTGACTTCTGTATGACATGCAATATATAAAAGGGTATAGGTTAAAGGTATAGTTATTTATGTCAAAGAATAATAACTATTACTTAATATTGACTTGAGAATGTAATAATAAAGTCACAAAAAGCCATAGTAAGCCATTAAACGGTCACCCAGTGGCCATAGTATGACATAACTGTCATAGACATTCAGTCTAGTAGCATAGAAAATATGCGTAGCATATAGTGTCATATAGAATGTAACAATTCAGTGTCTTATATGTCATATGAATTACACAAAATGGTAGGTCACAGTATAATACAACAGTTTCACAGTATGTATAGTGAGCAATAAAATGTCATATTGTATATTAATGGAAATGACCCTAGATATATAGTATTTGGTGGAAAATGTCATAAAAAGGGCATGAACTCACAGTAGGTGATAAAAGAACGCAATGCCTGTGAAATGTTTCACTTTATACGTAATCAAGTGCCAATTTATTAGACATCACCAAACCTTCTGCAAATCAAATCCAAATGGTTTAAATAGATTTTAGTGAATGATAAGACGGGATGTCGTGTTTTTGGCTTTAACAAATCATTGCGTGGGCTCGCTTACACAAATTCTCTGCGTGCTACAATGTTAACGCGACTCAACCGTCCACGAGACTTGTCTTTTAAATAGGACCTACTGTTGCCATAGGGACAAAAAAATGTCTACCGGCAGGTCAGCAGCATGTTAGGGACACGGACACATAATTGGGGGCCTGGTTGGCGGGATACTTTTCGCTGTGGGGTTAGAAGCGTGACGTCATCATGTGGGTCAAGAGAGGTTACAGAGTCACAATATCCGAGCCTCACTTCAGCAACACCGGTCAACTGCGCCCTCGTCCTGGCCCCGGTTCTTAAATACTGATATCACGCACTTTGCTGTGTTCATTTCAGCTCTGATTACTTTCCACACTCCTAAACAAAACATTTGTTACATGTTTTAGAAACGCTTTGATTAATTTAGACCTTTCATTACGTTATTGCACCGCCAGTAGATGTTCAGAGGCGCGACCTGCTGCAGCTCTGTTCATTGTGCTGGAGCATCCGAGCCCTCGGGCTGTAGCAGTTCTCGACGACCCTGTGAAATCAGCTGCTTTTCCTACATACCAGCCGGCCTCGGACACAAAAGCCGAGTGGTTGCAGAAGGATCCGAGGACTCAATGGTCTACTTAAGTTGTCGAGTAAACCCTGTGATTTAAAGTCAGAGCTCCTGATGACCTTCTGTGCTCGTTCCATTCCACACAATGGATATCATTTTTTTTTATCAATGAACACACTTTGATACATTAGTTCCTCCAATGTATAAAAACACATCATGCGAATAATGTAATGTAAGCGTGTTATTTAGTTCATAATTGGTTTGTTGACATTTGGATTTTAATTTCATCGAATGGTTTTGCTGCGTTTCAGGACGTTGATCACAGGCATGGCGTCTGGCAGCATCGTGGCATTCAACATCGACTTCAACCGATGGCACCACGAGCATCAAAACAGGTACTGAGGACAGACGGATCCATGCAGCAGCATCACGCAGTCCAGAGTCCAGAGAGATCCTTCCCAAGCAGAAGATGGAGGAGAACCAGGGGGCTGGTGAACATCACGTTGGTGACTAACTAACTTAAGGACAAGGTGTGTTTACATGTGTTCGAGGGATACCTGTTGCTACGGGTCTGTTGGGCTTCATGTCTTAGCCGAGCACCAGCGGATGAATCTCCCCAATGCAAACGGGTCTGTTGTTCTGGGCAGATAGAGACTGAGAACACAATTACACAGTTACTAAAACGTACATGAAAGCGTTAAAGTTACTTTAAACGGTGAAAATGCAAAACAAAATGAATCCTTGTTAGGAACATTTATACAACATTTGTATGGCAGATACATATCTATAACACTTTTCTAAAAAAGAAGAACCTGTACTATAAACAGTGTAAAGTGTTTCTTTTCTGTAAAGACTGAAAGAAAGATCTAAATTCTGTTAAACTAGACATTGTGTTATCAACATTTCCATCACACTAGCTATGTAAAATTGTCTTCATTGAACTCCAGTTAGTTAATAATGTATGTATATGGCTATTGTTTGCTCATTGTTATTAACAGTGGTCAAATGTATGTGAAAAGACAAAATGTAGTTTGTTGTATTTGATTGTCTATGTGGAAGAAAAGTCTAATTCAGTGGGAGCTTAGTCCTTTGTGCGATACATATTTCAATATTAACTTTGAATTAAGGAGTATATAGTTTATCAATAACAGAATTAAAATAATTCAAGTGGGACATTTAAAAGAGAAGTTATCAACCTTTTGTTTTTTCAGCTTCCAATAACAGATTTAATTCCAGATTTGTTTAGTATCTCATGACTGTTACGGTGTTTGTGGTAAAACTAAGAAATTGTTTTGCTTGTTTTTTTTGTATATATGGTTTCATGGACACCATCGGTAAGCAATATTCCGACTTGTGTTAAAAGGTCTCAGCTGCCTGACAAGTGTTACAAAATGACTATTGTCTCTTTTCGTGGGGACAGACCTATTGAGTCTGTGGATGTGGGGTGAGAATTTCGAAGGAACAAAAATATGCAAATATATTTTGAGTTTGCAGCTATTTTCCGATGGTGGTAGAAGACACCATCCTACCCAAAGCTGGCTTACACTTTTCTGTCCTGTGAAATAATGTATTATTGTGAAGTTAGATATGTACAAAAACAATTGTTTACATATTACAATTAGGCAGTGCATTTGGATGTTTCATATATTTAAACATATGTTATGATTTATATATATTAGTTGCATTACCAATTGTTTTTGCATATGGTTTGAAGGTGAGATATGTTTGGCGGTTATGTATAATATAAACCATGATAACTACAATTCAGCTGCTTTTATAATAAAACTGAATGAATACACCAGTGAGCTTTAACTTGTGTATGTGTGTACCTGTCTCTAAGTCGTTCATGCATGTATAACTATTGCTCATTAACTGCATGCTACAAATGGAATTACATTGACGATGTCAGGAGCTTGTGTAGTATTACACTGCCACCTGCTGTCTAAATGTGTTGCTGCATATTTTAGGAGGTTTACCAAAACTCGTCTTACAAAAAAGTAACTTAGTCACAAATTAATGAAATCTTTTATTCCCAGATGTGGTTTCATCGCAGATAGCTACATTGTTTTAACGTTTCTTTAATATATTTTTCATTTAAAGTTTTTTTTTTTTGTACTCATTTCAATTGCTTTTAATATCCTTAGATTGATGGAATATGGATGACTATAATACAGCATTCACATTCTCATCCTGCATCACACTGCTGACATTCCCAGTTGTCTTAAAGTAGCATTTTGTCTTACTGGATATAAACATTACATATATTTTACACGATGAACAGTCTTTAAAGCATAAACATTCCCAAAAAGTCACTACCACAACTTTCTGTCCTTGTGCTTTTTGGTTCAATCCGTTCTAGTCAGAAAACTTAAAGCCCTTCAAATCCAAGCTAGTGGTTTAATGTGGATGTGGTATGACTGCAGTCTGCATTAATTGAACTGCATTCACCAAGACAGCATGTACGAAGATAACATGAATAACTTCATATATGACAGGCATATCTAACGGTCGAACAGCCAAATTGATTTAGGATGCATATTACTGCACATGCAGGTTACAGTCTGATGAATGGAACAAGACACTCAACAAACATTTGGTTACTGGTGAACTGATGTGCGAAGCAGAGAAAACAGTTTGGTGAGCAAGACTTCTAAATTATGCCATTTCCTCATATTAACACAATGATGTAATATTCAATTCAGTAGTGGCTGAATGAACACATTTTACTGGAAGCACTGTTCTGTTCAACATTTAGTATGTGTAAAAAAGAAATCCATGTTGTAAGGAGTAAATAGCTCTCATTGGATAGAGAACTGTGTAAGTTGGTTGCCATTGATACCAGCAATAGATCCTTTCTCACTCATTCAAGCATTTCGAAGGACATATTTGATACTGTACTCACTGAGCAGTACACCCAACTGTACTTATCTTCATATAAGCAAAGGCCATTAAACAAAAGCCACGGTCTTTAAACTTTAAACATGCACTTACTACCAACTACACAGCACTGACATTCATGTGTACCACCACTGTATTACAAGCACTCTAACAGACATGTAACTATTTTAATAATCCTCAAGCACCCAGGTGAGCCGGACTATCAATAGTCAAATATTAGCACCCTCAAAAGAGTAATAGTACTGGGTGGCAGGACAATATTTGCCCTAGACAAAACAAAAAGTTTAAGTACAAATAATGCTTACGGTACATTATAGCAGCATGTCATTTCAGTTTCATCCTTCCAGTTAAACAGTGTCCGAGGTTTGTGCACCAGAACCCTAAGTACCTCGTCACAGAGAAACCAGAAAGTCATCAAGTACAGCCGGAAGGTGACTATTATTGTTGGGTTTTCACCACGATAATTTACATTTATTATCATACCATACAATCATGTAACCTAATATTTCAAAGAAAAGGTTTGAATGTTTCTCATTTACACGTTCCATGAAAAAGCTTTTTATTATGCCGGCTGACTTTCCTGCAGTATACCTGTAGACCAGTAGAGGGCTCCGCGCTACTACAATGAACCAGTGTTTTTGTGAGTACCTCGGCTTTTTGCGACTTACTTGGAAACAAGGAAACAAAACTGTGTTGAATGCTTATAAAATGTATTCTTTGATCTTGAGCCCAACTTGTCCCTTACTTTGATAAATGCATTTCATAACAAAAGTGAACATATTATGACTGGCAAAAACATCAAATAGGTGCGGGTACGTATGCGGCCTGTAAATGTCCGGGTCAGCAGACTGAACCCAATGTTGGGTCCTTTCATTTTGCACTCCACCCTTTCCCGCTCTCAGAGGGCTACGTGGGGGCTGCGGCCTCTGGGAGCCCGTTACAATGGAGAAGTGGGTGAACGACCAGCGTCAGCCGATCTTGGGGAACGGTCCTCAGGCTCAGCGGCACCGGTGCCGTGCCGTGGTTGGGGTGAAAATGTCACATCCTGCTGGCGTCTTGTTCGCAGAACTTGCTTCTCCTTATCGAGTGGCGTGGTCTGAGAGAGGGCGACACAGCAGCCGTCGTTACGTCGATACGTACGAGGCGGGGCATTCAATCAATCATCAGGGACATGTTAGATGAGCCACGGTTTGCGTGCAGCCGTTTGTGGGGAAAAAGCTTTAACTTCATGTGACACAGCAAACAAGGGCAGCGCTTAACTAAAGCGGAAGTGACTACAGGTGAAGATGTATGAAAAACTACCATCTCGATGGAAGACTATGGCTTTTCATGCCATTCTATGCTGTGGTGTCTCTTAGCATTCATACAGTATGATCAAACAATACTGTAACTTTTGATAACATACAACGTAATTTCTCTAAGAAGCGTTTTTGTGAGCAGCGCTTACAGTAATGACTGACACTCCTGCAGTGGTGCTGTTGAGCTTGGGCCCTGTATTGAAGTTCTTCTTGATCTTCCCAGCCACAGGCAGCTGGTGCTTGCTCTCTGACCCGCCGTCATCCTGGGAATTACAAAGAGCAAAGCTTCCGAAACTCTGATCGCTGTTCCACAGTGCGCTTTGTCATAACTTGTATGTAACACAGGTAAATCTGGTAAAAGGACTGACTTTACGATGCTGAACTTACATTGACCCAGGAGTGATCGAGCACCTGCACAGCCGTGTATCTCCGATCCACCTCTATCTCCAGCATCCCAGTGATCAGATCCTAAAGAAACCACTACATTATTACACTGGATGCTCATGGAGGATGTGAGCCACACATCACTGACAGACGTTTCACATGGAGAAAAACAATGGCAGGCAGATGAGGAGCACATTTCCAAACACCGACCTTGGCCGTCTCAGAAACACTGTCCCAGTGAGGTTTGGGGAAATCAAGCTGTGCCTTTAAAAGCTGTTGAAAGAGAGCCTCCTGATCTTCACCAGAGCTGTAGAAAAACAAATGTTCTAGAAGCTCAAACTGAGTTGGACATAACTGTATATAAGCGACGGCACGCGATAGACATTTTGAATGAAGAGATTAGGACAATTTAACGTTGTTAAAACATAATATCTTTATTTAATTTATTTATTTATAAAATAAATGAGTACATACCAACTAAAAGGAGGAAAGCCACACAATAGTATGTAAGTGATGACACCAGCTGCCCAAATGTCAACCTTGAGGCCATACCTGTAGTTACAGAGGCGAACATTTGTAAGTAGCAAGTAACGGTTTTCACAATCATTAATTTTTTTATTGGGTGAATGGTGGGGGTTTTCCCTGTTGTTGTTGGGTTTTTTTTAAGAGCAAATGCCCGACAATCAAGATCATGATGACTCTGACTCACCCGGTCTCAGCGACGATCTCTGGTGCCACATAGGTAGGTGTGCCACACACAGTAAAGAGGGGCTCATCGACGACGGTGGCCAAGCCAAAATCACCGAGCTTCAGAGACTTACTACCATCATGGTGTTCAAACACCTGCGAAACGTACACAACAAAGTGAGGAAAACCACAAGTAAAGACGTGTCTACTTCATTTTGTGTTCACGATTCCATTAATGAGCTTGATGTGATTATAAGAGTAGGTAACTGAGTGCAGAGAATTAAAAAGGATGGGAGAAACAAAGACCCGGGAAGAGACGTTGCTGCCATTGCAGCCTTCATGCATGTGTGATTGTTAGTTCTAGAGGGGCAAACAGAAAAAGTGACAAAGGGAACGTGAAATAGGATTAATAGGGGATTGTCGACCAATAAGGTTTAAACAATTTGGGTCCACTCATTGCCAGTGTGGAATCTTTGTAGGGTCAAACTTACCAACAGGTTTTCCGGTTTAATGTCTCTGTGGACAATATTGAGGCTATGCAGATACTTGATGGCGCTGGCCAAATTAAACAGCATACAGCTGGCGTCTCGCTCTGTGTATTTGTTTGAGGAGGTGATTGCATCAAAGAGATCGCCCCCCTGGAGAAAGAGTATGTGGGATGTGAAAGAGCAACTATGTTAAAGAGGGGGGATGCAGCTTGGATGACACATATACAAGGATGGTACAAAATAAGTTTAGTTTTAAAAAAGCATAACAATTGCAACATAACAATTCAAAATGGTCTCTATAATGTAGTTTTTACTGTATTTGAACAGGAAATTGCTTTGAACAAATAACCTTACCTTAACCAACTCCATTACAAGGTAGAGCTCACTACAAGTGTCCATTTCCTCAATCAAAAGAACAATGTTGGGATGTTTAACATGACGAAGGATTGACACTTCACTCTGGATCATGTGCTCCTGGGTAAGAAAAGGAATATCAATCCCAGGAAGAAAACCTATCAGCACTGTGTAGAGAAAATCATGTGTACAGAAACATATCAGTGGAACGTGAGACTGGCAACCTTTCTTTTCAGTAAAATATAAGAGACAAACCAGTTTCGAAACATCCTAGAAATTTGGAAAGTCAGTTGAAATCAATTTGATCCTTGTTAACACTCCTTGATTAGATTTATAAAACAAACATGAAAAGGAAAGAAAAACTATTTATTCCTAAAGGAGTTTGCTGATGAAGAAATATATAGAATGAATGAAGGAGCATCGGCAGAACTCAATATTGTACACAGAAAGTATCTTCTTGATAAGACCAAAACTGGGTGATGTGATAATTGAATTTGGCAGATGTAGAGGGCTCACCTTTCCCTTGCATTTATCTTTGCTGATGATTTTCAGCGCATACTCTCGTCCGGTGGATCTCTCCACACACTCTCGGACCACAGCAAAGTTTCCGTCCCCTAAAGTCCTCCCCACTTTGTATCTCTCTGCTATGGATGCAGGCACTGTGCGGTACTCCTCCACTGGCTCCGCTGTGGAGAAAAACAACAGATCTAATATGTAAAGATAAGAACAGTAAGCTTTACATTGCCTACAAAAAAATATATATATTATCACAATGGTTTCTTACCTTCACTGCCGGGCCCATCACCTTCATCCATTGAGCTGCACACCCTGGTAGACGCTAAAGAGAGTGAAGAGCCACCGTGTTGAGATCCCTGAAAACAAGAGAGTCATGAATTCACAGTGAAAGTAACACTAATGCAACCGTTTTATCTGTTTTCATTACCCGCCGTCTTCGGAGGCTGGCTGGACTGGTCGGAGACGGACTCGGAGACTTCCCAGATCGAGGCGTGGACAGTTGACTGCTTGCGGTGCCATTTGCTGTCGGTACATTAGAATTGGAAACATATAATCACACAAAATATGGCTAACTAAAATAATTTCCAAACACACACACACACACACACCAACCTGAACCAGTGGATGATGGAGACTTGCTGCGGCGGGACATCCCACCACCTCTTGGTGAAGAGAGACCCTGCACGGAGGGTAGCCGGCCATATGATGCAGATTTTGCCACTCTGCAGTCTATATGGAAAGAAAACAATTAAAGATGTACACTGCTTGAGCAACATTTTTTATAAATAATGCATGACTACCTTATTCTACCGTTTTCTCACCCTTGAACCTGTAACAGGTTACAGACTATTTAATTGATATAATATCATATTTTGGTACCACAACCTATAAACCACAGAGCCACCAAGTGTGAGGGTTGACTTCCTCTGTTGTTCTATGCTGAACATTTAACAAACAACTATACAATTGGTCAACTGAATGAACTCTCACCAATTCCTTCCAAGTTGAAATCATCTTGATAGCGAAACTTCTCAGGGCCACAGGCAAAGAAGATATCATCGTCCCCAAAAAAGTCATGAAGGCAGGTAACCTGTCAAAGACAGAGATGTTTTGCTCAATTTTTGTTCAAAAAGATTGTATATGTTGTCATGCATCATACCACATAGGCACCTGTGTCTCAGTATAAATAATAGGGATGTCATTAACATTAACGCGTTAATCCATTCGATTAACGAGGCCGCGATAAATATATTTTAACGTAGTTATCACAACTTTGTTTACTTTCGGTCTTCCGGTGTGTCGGTAAGTAAACAAAGTTGACAAAAACCGCCGCCAGCTGGAGTCAGTTGGACAGAAGAGACCTGGACGGTAGTTGAAGATGGAGAGAGCTTTTTGCATTGGAGGTAAAACAAACAGACATACAGCGGAGAACCGTGCAGAGGAATTGTCCCGCGTGTCAAACAGATGGAGGGTGAGTGGCAAGCGCTTTATGCACCGCTAGGCTAAGCTAGCTGCCGGGCTACTTCCAGCTCAACATCCACGCTGTGAAGAGAACCACAGCCGTGTCGGTGGAATTCTGCCTCCAAGATGATCCCATGTGTGTCGTTTTGTGTTTAAAATAACATTAACTAATTAAACAACAGTGTCCAAATTACACACTTTCTAAAGTGATAACTCATTACTTTGAAGAAAACAAACTTTTAATTGTGATTAATGAATTTCAAAATGTGTGATTAATTGGTTAATTTCTATTGGCAGCTCTAATACATAATATTACTGGGAAAAGTGAATGATGTAATGATGTAAGTAAGCATCAACTATTTTACCATGATTTGTCAGTACATATGTGCACATTATTTTACAGGTAATCCCCATGTACATGTATTTCTACTGGTGTATCAGCCTGTTATGATTGTGTATCTAGGGAAAGGAAAAAAAACCTGATGTATTTTATTCAGTAAAATCTGTCACAATGGCTTTTCCATCCTTTGTGAGAGATTCATTTAATTCCCTTTAATAAACCTATAATCTCTGAAATTGAAATAAATGATGTGGTAAGGAGTTAAATAGTGTCCTACGCCCAATGATGGCTTTGATGTTTAAGAAGTTGTTAAAGGTCCCCACATTATCATCTGATCTCATGACTGAAAAAAAAATCCTCCTTTTTATTACGACAAACTAGACTACTGAATTGATGCATCTGCTGCTTTCATTATTACAGAACCCCATCAGAGTGAATGCAGAGTCATCGCAAAATGGTTATTGATGTGCATTAGTACAGTAGTGCACCTCTACAAAAGTGGACCCAGGAAACCTGTGATTCCATTTAGATTATTAGTCAAAGCTCTGCCCCTGGCCACAGCTGGACGGGCTGCTGTGAGGACTTGCTGGTGAACATGAATTATTTTCACCTAAAACATAAGGATTGTCTGTAGAATGTAGGGAAGGATAAACAGGTTTATAGAAGTAGACGATTGCAAACATCTAATATGTACATACATTATTAATGGTCTCATAGTTAAGAAATATCAGGAGCTGAGCAGAAGCCTAATAAAAGGATTTAAGTGCTTTGACAAGAAGCGGACAGATAAAAAAGTCACTACCACAGTCTCTCATCCTGATGGCTTCTAACATGTATTAAATGTTATGTTATCATCCTCCTTTGGTATGAATGCAAAACCTCTAGTTTGCATTGTGCAAATCTCAAGATTATTTTTGGAAGATGTGTACCCATTTGAAATAGTGAACAATTGAAATGTTTCTCTAAAATTAAGCACAGAGGAAGGCTTAATATGGACATTTTCTCTGCAGATGGTTCACTCTGAGAGCCCTGCCCCCCACCCCTCCTCCAGGAGTGTGAGATCCCACAGGGAGGAGAGATGCAAGACCGTTGTCAAGGAGACAAGACGAAAAAAAAAAGATGAGTTTGAGACGATGAGAGCAAAAACAGACAAGACATCATGTCACTGTGAAGATGTGGGGCGAAATACGGCTTCAGACCTTTGGTTAAGCAATAATTAAATCTGAGGAGAAAGATGTGACATTGCTCCCCAATAGGATCAGAGATGTAATCAAACATGAACACCGTCAGAACAATGTGTCCGAGCATACAGTGAAAAAAAATACAGATTGCTTAAGTCAATTGTGTCTCGATGATCTAACAAGAGATATTCATGTATAATTCTTAAATAAATCCTATTACATTAATTACATGTATTAATGGCATATTGTTTATCTAGAAAACCAGGAAAAGGACAAAACCGGAACGTATGATGGAGCAGCATAAGCGAGGCAATCATGATTGTGTTTCTTTATGTGGATGCCTGCTGGCTGAATGACAGAGCAGCTCCATAATGCCTCCCATCCCCCTAAAAACCCTTAGACATCCTCCTAGCAGTTCTCAAGCATCCTGGACAAATATTGATTGTCAAAGGTTTTATCTGCTTGAGAAATAATAGGAAGTATGCTTGCTTTAGAAGCTAATCAATGTAAGCCATAGCTCAGTCCATAGACTGCACACGAAACGCAAACTGGTAAGAAAACATTGCTCAGACGGTAGACAGGTGCAGCTCTCCATGGTGCCGAATCTGCCCTTCATGGCAGAGGACGGAACAAAGCGGTGTCACTCAGAAAGTGAGGGAGAAACAGGACTCGTCTTCACATGCAATTTTCTTCAAATAGTTCTCATTTGTTTTGGGTTGGCTGGTTTTATTTACAGCTGCTGGGAATGGTGTAACTTTTTTTCAAATGTATATTCTGTAGGATTAAGAGTGGCTATAAAAAATAAGGGTGGATGAAAAACTATATTCAGGGACATAGATGATCCAGTATTCAGATAGTGTATGCTGCAGAATGTTGTGGCGTAACTGCAGTTGCTGCATAGACATATTAGAGTAATAGGTGCCTTAAAAAGTGCACGTCAGCATTTTGAGTACACCCAAAAATGAAATACCCTCAACTACACATGAGCTACAACTCCAGTCGACACACCGACTTGTTAGCATCTCTAATCACATCTTGAATTTCTATATTTTGCTATTAGTAGTTCTTACAATTTGTGCACTTAAATAGCAGATATATGAGGTGTCAATACTTTAACCTGTTGTAAATGTTAAGTGAATGCATATCTATATTAATTAACATACACAAATATATATTACTACTTTATATTATATATACAAATAAAAGTTAAAAAGTAACTTCCACTTTAGCTCAAGTATAATTAGTGGCCTCCCAGAACAAGAAGAGGAGAAGAGGATAAAGCGGAAAGTGTCTTCTCTACAAATCAAATGAGCACGTAATTGTTTTGTGTTAGTGAGCCAAGTCACAGTAGTAGAGCCAAACATTCTCCTTAATCCTTTTTTCTAGCCCTTCGTTAATAAATATCATAAATCCCAAAGAAAAAAAAGTAATGCCTGTGTTTATGTTCACGTCACTGAATTGCAGGAGAACATCATTTGTTCCCCCTTCTATAATAATATGAGCGCTTTTCATCGTGCAGGAATGACATCAAAGGTATGGGCAGAGACTAACAGAGATTAATTAACTAACAAAAAAACTAAAACAAGAAATGTCACGGTCAAGGTCGACTCTGAATGTCATTTCTCAAATGTCAAAATATTTTTCACATCTCATTTTACCATGTAGAATTACGCCTCTGTTTTGTGCATTAGGTGTGCTGTTTTGACATCTATTTCAACAAGAAGTGTTGAGCCCTAAAACAGACCGTAGTGACGTGCTCAACGCGATTACAGAGCAGAGCCAGATCACATAGAATACAATGGCCCAAGTCTCCTCAGACGTACTTGTAACTGTTTTCTGCTACACACCAAACCATCTCACGTATTCTCGCCCCAAAGGGCCTTGTCTGCAGATTGTTTGTTTCTCTGTTACTTTTGTTCTATGTGTTTGAACTAGTTTCCGTGTGGACAGTGTCATGAACTATTAGTCATGGGAATTTTAGAGAAACATCAACTTGGCTGTTCTGATTTGGCAGAAATCACAGACATCAAGAAGAACGAATGAATGGAAATATCCCCAGAAATTAAAATACTTATTTTGAAACTGCTGTAAATACACCAATTCAAGACATAAATATGAAGCAGTTATACATTAAAGTAAATATTTAGGCACAGTAGTTGGTTGTGTTACGATGATGTGATTGTTTTATAGACAAGCATGCGAGAGAGATCATTGTTCTCAGAACCAACACCCCAGGCAGATATTTTACCACAAAGGTTAAACCCATGAAAACAGGCCCTTTGATGCCAAAGGGTACTTATTTCGCCATCTGCAGTCACAACACGACAAAAAGTACAAAAGGCAGAGCAACAAGAGCACAGAGCTGCACAGCCAAGCACATAACACAACGGCCTGTTAGAAAAACAGATGAGAGCGAAATAACTAAATACGCAAAGATACCTGGTAGATAAATACCTTGTGTGAGCGAGAAATAGAGAACCACAGAAAAAATACATTCTAATATTTCCTTTCAGGGTACACATATACCTATGACCTATTGCAATGGCATGCCCATGTATGCTTTGCTGCACCAGCTGGATTCCTAAAATAATTCTTGGTGGTGTGAAAATCCCTAAATGCACCATTTCCACACAATCCCAGACTGGGATTATTCCTGAGCCATGTGCTTCGGCTTGGCGCCATGTGTATCAAAAGGCTGACAGATCGAGCACTGTCCATATGAGCCGTCACACTACACCTACAGTCCTGACATCACTACCGCACTGCTCTGCCGCAGAGGTTGCTGTTCCTTAGCAACCAGCTCTGGAAACCATGTCACCATAGAAACCAGCGGAAGAAATACACATTTGAAGGGTACTAATGCAGAATGCAGGTGATAAAGTTTATGAAAAAGGGAAGTTAAAAAGCGTGTTATTGTGGTGGGATGTTTTAAAACTAATTGCTGGGTCGACTTGAGCCCTATATGAAGTGGCCACATGGTATCCAACCATAATGACCCATAACTGTGATTACAGCTGAAGGAATAACAATTACATATGGGTAAATGGAGCTTAAAACAAAGGATGTGGACCAGGATGTTTTACAAAGTATAACAAGGTTAATAATGGTTAAAATAATGGTTAATAATGGCTCAGCCTGCGTCCTCTAACACAGAGTGCTGATGTAAGATTCTTGTGTGAGATAGTGAGATACTTGCACACAGCCCGCTATGAATAGAAAGATGAGTAATGGATTTATCAGTATTGGAAAAGGGGTATTGAACATACAGTTTTCCTGGCTACTTCACTTTAAAATACTGTAAACAAACAAGGCAAAGTAAAACAAAGTAGAATATTGACTACCTAAAATGGTTAACACCTTCAATTTAAAACATTAGGTTAAACAATGTTATAAATGTGCCACCAGCTTGACCGGCTACTTCCTCTCTGAGTTAAAGGGAGGCTGTGATTTCACAGAGAGAGGAAGGGCAACGCCTACGTGACTTTCACAAACTAAAGTAGATATGAATCCTTGATTAACTGGTATTCACCATATCACATACAAGCTGCAGCTATAGAACTAAATATTGCTTGGTGTACCTCAGAAGGAAGTCATTACACACACACCTTACGTGTCATCATATTCTACACATGTGTATAACATTGTTATTTTCTGGAGTTTAAATATAACAATATGAATATAAAAATCGACAGTACCCTATCACATAACCACCACTTGAAATGATAACACCTACCATCTTTCCGTCAACGGTATAAAGCCTTTTGACGACCCCCGAGTCCAGCTTGACGGCGTCTGTGATGTCGGTCATGACCTGCTCAAAGGAATGAGCCGTCTTCTTGTTGAGCAAGATCCGTATGGCCTTGCGAGGCTTTACTCCACTCCGGACAATGGTTACCAGCTTGGGCTTAATGAAGTCCTTGCTCTCTCTGGTTTCCGGGGATCCGGCCTTGGCGCTGCCGAGGGAAGAAGGGTCACGGGTGGACACGGCAGACCAAGCACCAACTGCCCAGTTGGGATTCACGTTCTTTGTGTAGTCCAGCATCTTGTAGGGCTCGATGGATGCACAGACATAGCTCTCCCCTGCAGCAAATGAGAGATTTTACATTTTACCACAAACTGGAGCTGAGGCATATGGAAGATTTTAAAAAAGACATAGTGAACATCACATGATAGTGCAGCACTGGCTTATTGTTCTCTACACGATGTAGAAAGTTGTGGATTCAGCCAACTAGCTTTTAACTACAGGGTTTGTGGCTTGGTTGATCTCACCTTACTCTGCAGTGAATTTACAACAATTCAAGAACCTCGCTCACCTTCCACCAGCTGGTCCATGCCGGTGATCTTTGATGTCCCATCGATGGTATATATGGTCCGCACGCCTTGTGGCAAGTTGACATTGTCTGACAGGGATCGCGTGAGGTCAGCCAGGAGTGCTTCTATGGACCTAAATCTCTCCTGAGAAATGGCATAGACAATCCCTTTGAAGTAGCGGTCTCCATTGCGATAGAAACGAATCTTCTTGGCCTTCTTTTCAGAGGTCAGGGCTTGCAGCGTCTTGGTTCTGTACAGGCTGCAGTGAGCGCTATGTGTGGGACTGTGGAGCAAATTGCCTCTTGAGCCCCTTCGAGTGTACCTTTGAGCCTTGTCCCGCTCATCAAAGTGCTCCAGCTCCATCTCTGTTGAGTGCTGTTAGATCACAAAGAATACGAGAATGCTTTCTTTTCAAATTTGCTATTTCGTGTGAATTGGTATGATACATTAGTGCTATTATGTTGTTTACACCCCTGATACAGGCTTTGCTGTGGCTGCTGCTCCACAACATGAATAAACATGTCACACCCATTTCATGCTCCCCGGTGGTACTCATTCAATCATTACAGATACGAAATTCACATGGCTTCGCAGTGGATAGTAGAACATTAGGGCATGTCTGCTTCAGAATGACGGCTGAAAGCTTAGAGAAAGCTAAACCAAAAATATAAAATCGCGAGAAAATGGTCTAGAATATACGGATTTTTAGTGGCGCAATCTCTCTTACCTTTGAAGCCAGGACAAATGCAAGCAAAGCGTTTTTTCCTCCAAGCAGCGCCTGCCTCAAATCATTTATTAATTTGATGCCTTGCAGATGAACCATGCGTCCCTTTGTTGCCCTGTGATGGTGCTGTATTTCTGCTCGCCTGCCGTGTGTTCGCATGCAGAGAGGAGGCAGGGCTGTAGCCGGTGTCCTCCACCCTCCCCTACTCTCCTCCACCCTCCCATCGCAGGGATTTGCATCAGACGCCTGGGGGGGGTGCGCACGCACGCCCACACGGAAGCCTTGATGCTGGTAACATGGTGCGCGTTCACGTTCAGCTGCTTGGAATAGCTTTGTAATGTACGTACTTATTAACAAAAATATGCCAGAAAGGACAGAAAATGTTCACTTCTCTAAAGCTGTCGGTGTGTTCTTTTCTGGTTGGCTGGAAGGCATTTTATGAAGCATGTTTCACCGTGGTGACAAAGTTGGCCTTACTCTAACAGCTAACGTTAGCTAACGTTAACTAGCAACGTACCTGGTTAAAGACAGTGGCGGCAATGGGGCCCCACCATGAGCGACGAAAAATAACAAATAGTCAATATTTGTGTTTTTGAAACGTGGATTATATACCCGGTAATATTTGTAAATTAACGATATCTGCGCAAAATATATACTTTTCCTCAGCTGGGCTCGGGCCGGGGTCCCAAAGCGCCATGAAGCAGTTTAGCCAATCACTGATGGAGTGATCAAGGTGAATCTCCGACGCGCCGTTTAAAAACATAACAAGAGCGACCACCGGCTTCTTGGTGTCCTTCCAATAAGACCCGACCCGACCTCGGTACGAGAGACGAACTTTGCCAGAGAAACTAAAGGTAAACAGCTGGACCTCCCATCAGACAACGGACCGGCGTGAAGGCGAAGACTCGGATATATGAGCTTCTGTAGAGATGTTACACCGGGATGTTTAGCTAGCTAGTTAGTTACATGCTAACGCCATTAGCGAACCGCGCGCATGACGTCGTGTTAAAGTTAACGTCGCTACCCAGCTGCTAGCGTGGGACGCGAGCACCGTAGGACGTGAGCACAGTGGGACGTGAGTACCGTGGGATGCACTGTGGGATGGGAGCACCGTTGGACGCAAGCATCGTGGGGACAGGAGCACCGTGGGACGTGAGCACCATGGGACGGGTAGGGAGAGCACCGTGGGACGTGAGCACCATGGACGGGTAGGGGGAGCACCGAGGGACGCGAGCTATGTGGGACGCACCGTTGGACAGGAGCAGCGTGGGACGCACCGTTGGAAAGGAGCACCGGGGGATGGCTTCCATCCCACCCGTCCCACCGTGGAACGCACCGTTGGACATGAGCACTGTGGGACAGACAGGATGGGAGCACCGTGGAACGCACCGTTGGACAGGAGCACCGTGGTACGCACCGTTGGACAGGAGCAACGTGGGACGCACCCTTGGACAGGAGCACCGTGGGATGCACCGTTGAACAGGAGCATCGTGGGACACGAGCACCGTAGGACGCACCGTTGGACATGAGCAGTGTGGGATGCGAGCAGCGTGGGACGCACCATTGGACAGGAGCAACGTGGGACGCACTGTGAGACGTGAGCATCGTGGGACGCACCGTTGGACAGGAGCACCGGGGGACGGCTCCCTTCCCACCCGTCCCACCGTGGGACGGACAGGATGGGAGCACCGTCGGAGGCACCGTGGACGCATCCTGTCCAACGGTCTGTCCCACGGTGCTCCTGTCCCACGGTGCTCCCATCCTGTGGGACGCACCGTCGGACGGGTGGGATGGGAGCACCGTTGGACAGGAGCACCCTGGGACGTGAGCATCCTGGGTTCCACGGTGCTCCCATCCCACCCGTCCCACAGTGCGTCCCACGGGTTCTCACTTCCCATGATGCTCGCGTCCCACGGTGCCCCCATCCTGTCTAACGGTGCACTCCACGGTGCTCGAGTCCCACAGTGCTCGCGTCCCATGGTGCTTCTATCCAACTGTGTGTCCCACGGTTCTCGCGTCCAACGGTGTTCCCATCCCACCCGTCCCACAGTGCTCGCGTCCCATGGTGCTTCTATCCAACTGTGCGTCCCACGATGCTCGCGTCCCACGGTGCTCCCATCCCACCCGTCCCACATTGCATCCCACGGTGCTCGAGTCCCACAGTGCTCGCGTCCCATGGTGCTCCCATCCGAAGGTGCGTCCCACGGTGCTCGCACACATCTTACCGTAGAAGCTCTCGTAAAATCTCATAGCACGTCCGACCTTCAGCTCTTCGGACAATGAACTTTGAGCTTGTCCCTTCAGAGAACAAAGTGAAACATTAATCTATTGTGAACTTCAGTCACCAACTGCTTGAAACGGTCATCTCTTATCATTTCACGGTTCAGACTCAAAGAATAGTATGAAAAAGGTCTCAACAACAGGTTTGCAAAGGTTGACATCATGGTACCAACTCCAAATTAGAGCTTCTTCACCTGATAAGTCCAATAAATCGATAACACCAGTAAATGCCGACTTCTGTCTGGATTCCTCACTTACCTGGAGCTCTTTTGATGGCCACAGATCGCGTCATCATCACCTTTTTATGGAAAACTCCAGTGTGTGAAATTCTCTGTCTTGAAATGAACTGACTGAATTTGCCACACAGTGTGTTCTGATACTGTGGGGAATGGAACTTGGAACAGGAAGCGAGAACAAGGAACACAGTGAAAGTACTATCCATGTCTCTGAAGTCACAGCGTTCTAGAATATGCAAATAAGCATTGTATAAATGGACCTTGTCTACTGAATATATTCAAACATGCATGAAATACTATGCTATACTTGTTTTGTTATGAACCGTCCATCTTGATCTTGACGGCAAACACTTTAAACAATAAATTAGAAACGACTTTCGTCTTTTGGGATGTTTTTCTGTTCAGTGGGAAATATCTCTAACTTTTGAATCCTGATTTTAAAAAATCCCCTTACTTTTCCTCAATTACCACCATAAGGTTTAATTTTGTTTGGTCAAATGTCTCAACTGTTGGATGGATTGCCATTTAATTTGGTGCAGATATCCAAATTAATAGTAGCTGTCCAAATCCTAGGCATCCAGCAGAGTCCATTCAAAAACAAAATGTCCCTTGTAACACTCAAAATCTTTGCTTTTACATTTTGTTTTCTACAAAAGATAGACAAAGAGATAAAATGCGTAAATTACAGAGATGTAAAACGCACATTTGGAAAACAGATCCAGACTTAATCTTAATTTAGGCTAATCAGCTAGCGTCACGTGTGTCCTCCTCCCCAACCATCTACCAATTAGTGGCAGCCCTAAAAAGCACCTGCCGTCAAGGTCTCATTCACCTTTGGTCCTCTGCTGTACAGGTATGTTGGTTTGCATGTTGTGTTGATGTTAAATTGTATTCTGTATACTAACATGACGTCACCTTTGGTCCTGTGCTGTACAGATAGAGAGGGAGGGAGAACCTGCTGCTGTTTTATCATTTTAGATTTTGTAATTTTATGTTTTCTTTGGTTTACCTTCTGCAGTTTCCCTCAGTTGTTTTGTTTGCTGTGTTCAATTTGCCTGGTTTTTATAATCTTAATCCCGTTTTTAGTCATTTGTGCTTCCCTTGGTTTTATCGTTTTCTTTAATAAAACCTTTTTCTTAAATAAACTACAAACGTCTCTGCCTAATCCAGTTATTTATTTGCGTGCCCTTTTGGGTATTTAAGTCTGTATTTCTTTGGGTGAAAGTCCCCAGGTGGCGTAGTTTGTCGCTTCCCCTAAAGTCCCGTCACACGTGCAACAATAATGAGTGTCATCGATGGTCAATTAGCTGCTAACTAGTGCATTTATACACCCATTGGTCAAAGCTAACGTTCAATCTTGTGTGTCTCACTCTATCAAAGTAAAACTTCCCACAAATTCTGCCCACACACGGGGCTGAGAAATGGCCTAAGTTAATTGGTCCACACTGCGTAGCGGCATGAAGGACTCATTCCATATGGGAACTTCAGTATGAGCAGAAGACACGACTTTGCACATTCTATCAAACTTCCACAGACCATCTTGCATAAAAGTGAGATAATGTTACTTTTATCATTATCAGCATTTTGGTCACTTAACCAATTACTTTATTTTAGGGCTCTCGTCCAGTTGGCCTGCTGGAGGCAATTTTACTTAACCGTAAAATCTGGAAGGTTGTTTTATCGGGCCGGCAAAAATAAAAGATCTTAGAATAATCAACAAACTTGTAACTTCTCATAATGTTGACTTTTATTTCTTCTTTATAACAACGTAGGAAGTTCATTTTTAGCCTTTAAATCATGTTTTATGTGGCAAAAGTGCTGAATAACAGAGGAACAGTGAGGCTGAAGAGGATTATTTGACAGCAGAGCCAGCTGCTAAGAAGTCAACTGAGGGTATGAATATCTATTTACTGTATTTAGATTTAGTTGTATTGATTAAGCTTCCAAGGCCTGGGATAGCAGCTTTGAAATGCATGTATTGCATTGTTTGAGAATTCTTCCTCCAGTGGGAGTTTCTTAAATTCATATTTTATATCAGCTCATATGTCCAGAAGATGCAATTAGTGGTGTATCTGTCAACATTGGACATCAACCACAGTAATAAATCCTCTGATGATGGATCAGGTTGCTTTCTGCAGCTGACTGCCTGACCGCAGTGCATGCCCCGCTAACATTGTTGGATAAATCCTCCGTTCCTCGGGGGACAAATGCTGCCAGAATACATCTGACTCTGCCTCGATTCAGTCTGTGGAAAATAACTGGATAAATCCGACCTCTGCATTTTGGAGCTTAGTTTCCTGGGATTTCACACGAGCAATGGTCAGCCAACCATTTTTTTTTTTTTTTCACTACAACAGCTGGTTCCCACACCCGTCTTCAAGCCATGGGTCATGGGATGCAGATTCTTTTATCAGAGAATTTGGGCCAAACTTTATCCCACCTGAAAACCCAACAATGGCAAACTCCCCAGGAGAGTGCGGTCAGGGCGATTCAACTGTAGTTTGTCCAACTGGCAGCTGTAGATGTGACGATCCAACCACTCGTCCCATTATCTTCTTTCAAGTACAACTAAAAAGTCCAGAGAATGAGGCCAACCCATGTTGGCTAGATTTGTCAGATTGTAACTTGGGTTTCCTTGATGGTAATCTTGTTAACATTGTTTTTTCATAGGTACGCAGGTTCCAACTAACTATGACTGAAGACATCAAAGATTATATGCGTAATACATGCATGCATGTAATGCATGTCAATGAATCATTAAAAATTAAATGTATTCCAGTAATTCAATTCAAAAAGTGAAACCCATATATCATATAGATTCGTTACAGACAGGGTGACATATGTCCAGCGTTTATTTGAATCTATGCAATTATAGTTTACAGCGAATGAAAACCCCCAAAAGCACTATCTCAAATTTTATTACATAACACCAAATAAATGATTTTTAATACAGAAATGTTGGCCTACTGAAAAATGTCTATACAGTATGTAGTATGCAGTCAATACTTGGTCAGCGGGGCACGGAGTCGATCAGCCTGTGGGACTCTTGAGGTGTTGTGGAAGCCCAGGTTGCTTTATATCTCTCATCTTCCTCTTGACAATACAACAGTATGGAAAGTGGCGGCTGGTGGAAAATAATATAGGTGGGGCAATCGAATCAATTTTAGCTACCATCCCAGGTTGATTTAACGCAAAACAATCAATGTATCAAAAATGCATTACTAATATGTATAAAAAATAATATAGTTAAATATTAAATAGCTTATTTTTGTCACTATCACAGGCCGTTCATTATTATATATATTTTTTGGGGGCTCAAGGGGGGGCACTCTAGCTGGGTAGACTGCCCTCTATTGACCAGCAGCCACTCCAAATATAAGAAATGGTGCTGAGCCTCTTAAATGTGTGAATTAAATAAAGCGGTGATTTTTTGTATTCATTCGATTTTATTTCAAATAAACACTCCACATTAAATAAATGTGTCACTTTAGTTATGAATAAGTACACATTCATAATCTTGTCTAATTAAAATTGCAACTAAGCCCAAAATTTCTGTTTTTAATCACATTTGTATGTAGTGTTGTGAAATTCAGCACACAGCAAGACAAGATTAACTTAGAGCCATAAACAAATCTAACCCTGGCTGGACAGGAAATAATTTCATCTTTTGATATTCCTATTTTAGGTAACAAAACCATGACTTTATTATAGTGTAAAAATACTCTGTAATCAACATGTTGCAAGACATACAGCTGCGAGGTGGAGGCGTAGGGCGACTGATTTAAGGTATTGGGTTTATTAGATTTTAAAAAAACACCACAGAGCTCATAAGTGTAGTACTTCTTTAAACTGTTTATTATTTCAGAATAGTCTCTGTATTTAAGAAAACCCAATGCCCAACTAGAATACTAGAAAGACATTTAAAATGTACATTAACCTGCTGAAGTCTTAAAGCTGGAGTTTAAAAAGATGACAAAGCAGACCACTCAAAAACGAAGGACTCACAGGTGTCCAAAGAAAACTATCATAACACTTCAAAATTCACAGTTATCTAAACGTTGTACATAAAAATAAGATATATTAGTCAAATTGTATTTGTAATATTGTAATGATTTTGAAAGCCTGGATCCAACTGAACTGAAAGTTAAAATGTAGCACAAACCCTCATCCATAATAGATGGAAAAATCTGTGACGTGTTGACGTAGTCCATTATGTACTAACAAAAATACATAGTGAACTTTTGAACACATTGTTTTTTTGTATATTATTTGATGTTTTCAGGCACAGTAGGCAGCAGTGATTATACTTCATTTCAAACAGTATAGCAGACGCTTTTTAATATCCAATATATTCTTTTCACCATCCATTCAAAGCATGTAAATTGCACTTTACCAGGAATAAATTCAAACACACAGATGCTTCACGAAGGTTGGGAAAATTTCCAGTGTATAGTCGACAACAATGACATGCTGTGTTGGTACAACGCACAGAATTAAACTACTTACCAAGTTAAGTGATAATAACAGTCAATAAACTATAACCATGTTTTAATTTGAGTAGTGAAATCTGCTGTTTTTATTCCTGTCATCCATCTTTATTTAACATTAAGATTAAAGTGCCAAAGAGCTATATCAAACCTTTAGATAGGCATAAAACAGTAGTTACATTCTAAATATAGAACATGTTGTTATAAATAGTGAATATTCAGTCGACAAAACTCATTTGATAGAATACAAATGATATTTTAAGGTGTAGCTGAGGGAATGTGGCGGGGCACTACCAGCTATTTGCCCGATTTCTCCACTCGTTTCCCACTCTCTGGTTTCACCTGCAGCTTGTAGTCTTCCAAAATGGTCTCTGCCGTCTGCTTGCCGGTCCTTTTCACCACAGCTTTGATTCCCAGGTTGTCAACATTGAAGGCAGTGAGGCCGACATTAATGGCAGAATTGACAGCATGGTCTGTGGCTTGTCCTGCAGCCGCCCCGTACCTTCATCAGAAGTCAGATTGGGTGAGAGGTCAGAGCAACAGGCAACAAACACAAGGATTTGGGGAGAACAAATGAATGTGCCGTGCAAGGAGAACAAAGATGCCATGCAGCGTGGCAATCGTTAGTGTGCAGATGCGGTTAAAAAAACTGTTAAATCAAGTAGTTCCCTTGAAAGACTAAACAATAATCAGGGGCAATATAGGGGCTTTGTTCTGGTGGAACGCTGCTGCTCGGCGCCAAGTTCATATTGTGGTTCCAGCTGATTGACCGGCAGCATTAAAAGGGGAACAATGTTAGCTCTTTCAGCACTGTGGCCATAGTTAGCTCAGTTGTGTCCATGTTTGGTGCTGCGTGGAGGCAAGACATTCTTTGCATTTTGTATTGAGCAGCTTTCAAGGGAAAAAAAGTATAAAACAAAAAGTGTTTGATAAATAGATACCAACCCACAACATTGAACACAATTATCACCCAACTCTATTGAGATCAACAGTCAGCTACACTGTGTTGAAACTTTGCTCATCATTGGACAACCAACACATTCAATATCGGAGGATTTTACAATCTGGCAGGACAGAAAAGTTACTCATTGGGAAATTTCCAAGAGAAAATTGGAGGATTTAGTGGGAAGCAGCACCATTATGTGAATTGGCACTACTGAAAGGGAAATCATTCAGAAAAATCAAAGTCATGTTTATAGAGGTGAAAAGGTTAATAGCTGTGTGAAATTGGGAAAAAATGACTTATTTTGCATTAGGTGTGTCATGGATGTTTTGTAGACCCCTAAATCTGAAAAGTAAATTGAAAAGGAAAATACGTGACTGCTGGTTTTGTTCTGCATGTCCTTGAGGTCATTTGCATAACACAAATCAAAAAACAGTTTAGTATGAAGCGGTGAGGAAATGATGTGCATTGCTTTACATTAAAGTGACGGTGATAAACAGGCAATCAAACAGGAAGGGAAGACTTACTTATGTTTTACTGTGGTGACGGTCTCTGCTGCTACACTCTTAGTAATGTCCTTTGCTGCGACTTCCAAACCAGTCCACATGGTCGCAAATCCTGAGCAAATACACAAAACACACAGCTCACCCAAGTGCTCTTCTAGTGAACAGTTTTCTCTGACAGACTATTCAGTAAAACATTAAGACACCTTGCACTCCACTGGCAGCCACCACCATCGCTCCATCTATGTTGGAACGGCCATCCTTGTCCTTCTTCATAGACTCCGGGATCAGCTTGCCTCCGTGTTTTTTCACGTGTGGAGCCAACTCTCGACCCACGCAGCCGGCGACCATGCACACCCCGTCCACTGCAGTGACATGGCATTACTTAAATTAGAGGTCCGCTGCCAAAACGACCACTCATGGGGAGTGAAACACGCTGACTGGGCACGGCGTGGTCACCTAGAAACTGGCTGACTTTGACAGCTCCTCCCGTCGCCTGCTTGGCCACGTGGAGGCCTCTGGTGACTGTGGGGTTGACGTGGGCGGGTCGGTCCTCCGGGGTGATGTGTTCTCGGAGTTTAGAGGCCCCTTTGTGAATGGCCATGCCCGTGAACTCGGCTCCTTTCACCAGGCCCCAGCTTAGCCATGACGCACCTGATAAAAACAATAGGATCACACGAGGTTAATCTTCACGGAGAAAAGCTTTACGAGGCTTCGGCGGAAGACGCAGTTTCCCCTCACCAGTCAAAATCCCACTCGACACCTTTTCACTCCACTCAGGGAGCGCCTTCTCCTCCTCAGTCACCGCCGCTGCGGTCTCCTCCGGCGCAACGATGGACACCTTCTGACCGAGATTAATGGTGTCTGCAGCTTCATCTGGAGGCTGATCATAGAAAACACATGTTTAGCTGCTGTAAATTAATGACACGCAAAAACACAGTGCATGCTGAAAATAAGAGCGGCATGTCAGTCAAATCTTTGGACAACTTATCTGATGCATTGTGCAACCTGCACACATCTCCGTTAATACGCACGTGTCCAAGTGTCTCCCCACCCCTCCCTCCCACCGACTCACTCACATAACAGGTCCTCTCATTATTCGGTGCTTCTCGTATCAATGCACTGAATGTTTGCTGCGAAGAGATAGTCAAAAGCTCTCTGTGCTGCCTGAAAACAGTATCCCTTTGTGCTGAAAAGAATCAAATCTTTAACACTATCCAAAAATGTCAACACAAATATGCGTACTTGCTGATAGGGAATTAGGTCCATGAGAGAAGATAAGTAGCCTGATCCTATGCATCAAAAATGACCTTGTTTGGCATCAATCACAGCCCCCTTCCTCGTGGCTGAACTGACAGTCTTTCTGCAGAATCTCTGAGGTGGTTGAAATGGCTGCAGATAAGAGCATTATGACGGATTAATTCCTGTCACCTGCCTGTCTCAAATCCCCGCAATGCTGAGGCAGGGCCAACTGGGAGAAGTGTGCCAGCTCACAAGAAAGATGAAGCAAGAGTTTTGTGAAAAGGCCAAAATAATGAAAACGTTAGATCCTGTTTGTCTGCAGCCTCTCGTGTCGCGTTAGCAGAAACTACAAGCTTTCCCTGGGAGGAATAGAGTCAACATCTGCAGTGTTTGGAAGCATTACAGAATTTGTTAGTGATGATTTGAGGGGAGTGGAGGTTGTCACGGGACCGTCGTTGACGGCTATAATATAATATACCCCTGTAGGTTTTCCAAAGAATGTTGTCTTGGGTTGTGACTGCACGGTTTGCTCAGACCTGAACTCTGAGATCCGTGCTCTGGGCGAGAAGGTCCTGGAACAGCTTTCGGTCTGCAGCAGGCAGCTCGGAGGACAACACCACCCCCACATAATAGCCCGGAGTTGGCGCCATCACGTCCGGAAACATGAACACACCGTTGTTACACAGCAACACCGGCGAGTCCGAGGCCATGAGAGGGTACAACCAGTCACACACCTGCAAGGAGGCAAAATAAATTTAAACATTTTAAAATAAAATCAGATTTATTAGGGGCAGAACGTTTCCCAATATAACCTTGTGATGACCGGCCTTACATTTGGAAAGGCGATTCTAATTAGTGCAACACAGTGAACCATCTGAGAGGAGCCACACCACACGACAGTGTCCCCCTTTTGACTGCTGCGTGTCTAACAGGATTAGAGGGAGTAACAGTGTAAGCGGGGTTAAGATAATCACTTGCACTCATGTGAATCACTGATGTCCCTCACTGGCAATAGCCCCTGGGAAATTCCCCCAGGAAAAGTCAAAGTGCAGTCCTGTGATCCTGTGAGTCATTGGTTTGGTTTTTAGAAATAGAAAAACACAAATACACAAAATGCCTCGAAAGGAGTTGGATAGATAAGGAGCCATACGAGTCCAATGGTGAGACGGTAATATTACAGTAATTATTTGGGCATTCCCAGGTGGATGACGTCACATCCATGAACCTATTAGGCTTAGCGTGCCGAGTAAACAACACTCACATGATCAAGTCTATCGAGCGAGGAAAAGAGATCATTAACTGGCTAACTATTACCTCCGGCTGATCACAGTCCAACATCTTACAAAATCAGGTTAAAGGGCAAAGAAGACAAGGGACACTGCAGTGAGGACATCTCTACTTGCACTTCTGGCATCACATGGCCACAACACTTGCACATTTGAGTCATTTCAGGCCTAATTGCTGCAAATGTTTGTGTCGGCTAAATCATGGGGTCATTGTGTCGCAGGGGTTAGAGAAGGTGTGCTGGGAAGCACAAGGTTGGTGGTTCGACTCCAGGCTGCCCCATGTTCCATGTCTGAGCAAGACACCTAACCCCTAATTGCTCCCCGGGCAAAAATGTGAAACGCCATGGGTTTAAAGTGTAATGTAAGTCGCTTTGGATAAAAGCGTCTGCTAAATGACCTGTAATGTAATGTAATCATCATCAGAGGGAAAATATATCTTTTTTCCCACCTGCAAAAATGCTGGCGGTCGGTTGGGCATCTTGTCGTCACGGTCGCCAGTGAACTTGACCAGCCGCAGGTAGCCCGGGTACGATGGGGCGCTCACTTGCCCTTCGGGCGTCACAAAGAATATCTGCACGCCATGAGGGATGTACACCAGCTCCTCTCCGTCTTCACCCAGACTCTGGTGGGACGGGGTCGAGTTAGACGTGCGGCCGTAGTACTCATCCCCGACCAGGGACATTTCCCCCGCGTCCGTTCCATAGGAGACGGACAGGTGGCCGTCGGCCGCCTGAGGGGAATAAGCCGGGGGCTGCTCGGCTGGAACCACAGGCCGTCTGGTGGGGGAGAGGGGCAGACCCTCGCTGCTGCACGCGGCCATGCCTCCTACTGCGCCTGCCTCCTGGCCGTTAGTAAAAAGGACGTTTGGCGGCGCCGGCTTCTCTGGCTTGCTTTGGCCGGACAGTTTTGGGTACAGACGTGCTTGGGACACTTCAGCGGCGGCGCCGGGGTCAGACACCCCGCCGTTGCCGAGTGCAGGGGCGGAGTCCAGGTCAGAGGTGGTCTCGATTATGGCCAGCCGAGTGGTGATGTTGTTCAGCGTCTCCTGCATCTTCCTCTGCATCTGTCTGGCCGATTCCCAGGAGCTGCCGACACACTCCTCTCCCCGGGAAGGCACACTGATGCCCCGGAGAAGGTGCTGTCGCCCTCGCTTGTACAGCTCCAGGGCCTGCGCCTTGTGTCCGGCTTCATCCACGGTGAGTCCGGTGTTGATGCACTCAAAGGCCGTCTCGTAGGCGTCTCGGATGACTTCAAGTCTGGCACTGTCGAATGCATCTTGTTTGGCTTTCTCCATTCCCTTTGAAATACAACCCACAATTAGCTTTATTTACAATTTGTATATCCGTTCAAACATCTACACAGTTATCAACGGCGAGGGAGTGGATTTTCACCATAACTAACGTTAAAAATTCAACATGACGTAGTTCCTTGAGGCTGAACGCTACTCTCACGTGACTCATATTTCAGCGCATACTTTACCTTGGATACAGTATGAGGATTGTGGTAGAAGATTTTGCACAGACAATCGTTAAGTAAGAAACAAAGGCTCTGAGTCAAGTATGTCTTTTCTCCGTTTATTTCCTTGCAAGGGAAAAAGGGTCACAACAGCTACGTGGTCAGTAGACTGTCAAGAACCTCCTTTTTGCCCCCAACACATCGAGGCAGTTCTTATACCTAAGTTTAGATATCGGTGGCGTCAACAGAAACCTTTGACCATCTTGTTGAGTATCTACAGCCAGGGTACTGGGAACAACATGTCAGGCCACTCATGGGGCGTCACACAATAATACTTAATTGCCTCGTAATGTGCGTTGGTCCACCTGTTAACATTAGCTAGTCGGCTAGTCGGCAGGCTAACTTTAATGCTGATGATAGAACACAACTTAACGTTAATAGACGTTGACGTTACAGCTTAACGCCTGTGACGTACGAACATCAAATAACACGGTCCGTTATAAGTATTATACAACTTTGCACCCGTAACGCCAGACCCATCATTAGTTATCCACACTTACCCCCAGTGAGCGGAAAAATCCGAAAATAATCTTTGGTCAGACGGTTAGCTTAGCTATGTCGTAGCTACCGTTACATGTCAAACACGATGGTAAAAAGGACACGTCTGGTTATCGAACAATAGCGTTAACTTAAGCTGCGGTGTCCCTTAATAAAGTTGTTCAAGACTTACCAATATAGTGTAGTGACGTTACACGGTCCGTGGACGTTTTGATAGTCCCTTTTACCGTAAAAACCAGAAAACGAAAGCACTCGTTTTTCGTTTTAAATCAAAAACGGTAAAACGGTGGCCGGCCGTTTTCTCGTTTTTCGTTTAGAACCAAAAAACGAGACAAACTCACAACCTTTTCTTCCGTTAATCCCTTTTGGGGTTTTGCCCATAAAACGAAAATACAAAACGGAGCCGCTAAACCGGAAGTACGTCGATGGTCCGCGTACGTTTTGATAGTCCCTTTTACCGTAAAAGCCAGAAAACGAAAACACTCGTTTTCCCGTTTTTCGTTTTAAATCCAAAACGGTAAAAAGAAAGTGGACAGTCGTTTTCTCGTTTTTCATTTTGCAACCCCAAAACGAGACAAACTCACAACTTTTTACCCCGTTAATCCCTTTTAGGTTTTTGGCCATAAAACTAAAATACGAAACCGGAAGTACGTAGATTTTCATAGTAAGAGTCAACGTTTATGCTAGAAATCCGTCTGCGATGCCAGCGGTTAAAAGTTCATAACACCTTGTCTTCTCTGGGCAAGCGGACAGCAACATTCATGTGGGTCGATGTGAGAACGACGGACCGTTTCTACTCTCTGGTCCGTGATCTGAAGCAGTTACGAGGCCAGCTGGACGCAGTCGTTGATGACCTGGTTCCAAGATCGCCAGAGGTCTACAAAGCTGCAGACACTAAAGACATTTTGAACTGCCTCAAGAAAGATGTATGAAGTTGCTCATTATTTGTAAATTGAAGTGCATTTTACATTTATTTCTAAGGTTTTTCTGTCTGAACTTTATGTGAATATTCTGTTTAACTCCACTGAATATTTTGTTTGAATACAGTATAGAAGTTGTTAGATATCTGCATTTTATAATATATAAACTATTTTTTTTAAATGTGAGAAATAAATAAGATTTTTGCAACAAGACATTGTGTTCCTCATAACTATACATTGCAATTTGAAACAATGCATACCTTTAAGTAAAATTAACTATGAAAGTAATTGTAAAATAAGCGAGTTGAAATAATTACTCAGACCTAGTTAACACAATGCATTATTTTAAGTTAAGTTTATTTTAAACATACATGCTAAGTTAAATAAACATGTACTATACAGTCATGTGAACTTACAGAGATCAATCCAGAGCTAAGTAAAACAACATTATGAGTTGTACCAAAAGTCCAATTTGATTCTACTCAAAAGTGTAAGGCAACTTTTGAACTTATGTTTGTAAGTTAAACCCCTTGATTTTTTTTACAGTGATGCAGATGTATTTTCATTCATGTACACAGCAATACGCATTCAAATCGGTTCACTGTTTGATGCAATATAGTTGATAATGTAGGTAATAATATAGCTAAAAATATAGTTCAATCAAAGTGGATTATTGTCATACACTCATTGCTCTTGGCTCTGATATTTATTTTCCACATATTGTGTTGCTTGAGTGAACGCAGACAGTCCAATGAGAAGCAGAGTAAACATGTTCGTATCTCCACCAGTTGTTGGCAGAATACGTGTATTCAAACCATAGATTGAATTATATTAAACTGTTTATTTTATTCATCTAGGTTATTACAGATGTATTTAATGCAGTTTATTGCAGTATGTGATTTTTATGATTCATTTGCAACCGTTGTTGTATACATCTTGTTATATTTATTTCATGGAAGAGGGAACATGTGTTTATTAAGCAATAAGTAATGACAGTTTATGAATAGAGACGTTTGGTTTCATTAATTCTGGTTTATTCGTCACAAACGGTTAGGCCCAAGAGGTCAAAGGGCCCTGATGATAAGAAATAATGTTGGTCAAATGCTGCGGTATAAGGAAAATGACTTGTATGGCTTTATGGTATTCAGACATTCTGACTGTAGAATATTTTACATTTTTCTCACTAGACAAGAACAATTAAGAAATGAATTCATTCTCTTTTCGTCATCGCCTCCATGTTTGCTTTCATGTGACCCGTAGAGTGATCTCTGGAGCTGTGGACGGATCCCACCGTCAGGTCACCAAAGTCACAGGTCACATTTATCCTGAGGACACTGGAGGAGTCACATGGTAACTTTGGAGGTGGACAATCTGTCCACAGGACAACTAGTAACCGTGTACTCCATAAATCTGGCCTTGATAGAAGAGTGGCAAGAAAAAAGCCATTGGGAGTTTTCCACAAGCCATGTGAGAGACACAGCAAACACGTGGAAGAAGGTGCTCTGGTCAGATGAGACCAAAAGTGAACTTTTTGGCCTCAATGCCAAACGCTGTGGTGGACACCCAACACTGAGCACAACATGCCAACAGGGAAACATGGTGGTCATGGCATCATTTCACATTCTATATTTGACCTATTTACAAGTAGAAGAAAGAGATACATATAACAAGTGCTGACAATGTCTTCTTGTAACACCAATCAGGCATTTGAGTCCATCTTGAAAAATTGTGGCAATTTATTGACGGCACTGTCCAGCAGTACAATAACATCTGTAAAGCACATTCCATCTATGCAGCTTCTTCTTTGTTGTTGCCAAAGTCTGAGACTTGTGTTAGTGAGTCCACCTCTTCATACTTTTTTGTTGGAAAAAAAATGTCTCTGTGCAATCGAGAAGCTGCCCTAAAATCTGGCTTTGAGGTGGAACAGACCTGGACACAATCAGTGTTACCTTAAGGCTTATTTTTATCAAAATAGTAACAAATCTGACGGCAATAAAATTGAAGTAATTTTCTTTGGAACACAGACCAACATTAGATCTTCTCATCCTTTGATCCCTTCAGTTTAACCATTCAATTCAGGATTGAAGTGTGACAAATAATGATTATTATTATTTAATCTAAAGAAACAAAAAGTCTCTATTTTTATTGTCGTTATGTATTACATTGTGATCAACAAACAACCCCTCTTTATTAGAGGTATGTTTGTTTTTTAAATAAAACAAGATGAATGGCACAATGGTTGAGAATGAACCCTAAAAATCACATGAAATAAAACAGCAATAAATGCCTCGGAATTAACAGATACATAACTTAAACACAGTTAAATATAATAAAATCTGTGGTTAAAATACACGTATTCTGCTGTATTGGTGGAGATGCGAACACGTTTACTCTGCATCTCATTGAACTGAAGCAACACGTGGAAAATAAATATTAGAGCCAAGTGCAACGAGTGTGCTACTTTTGCTGACACACATTCCATCGGACCAGGATTATTTATATATATCGATTAATTAACTTGCAAAAGAAGGCTGGCTAAGGGACGTGAGATTAGCGCTGGTACTACAAGCACAGGTGCTGGACGCCCGCCTCTGGATATTCCTGGATATTGGGTTTCTCGGGTTGATAGACCGGACAACACAAAGTTAGCCAGCTTGTCGCCAGGAATACCCAGAGGCGGGCGTCCAGCACCTGTGCTTGTAGTACCAGCGCTAATGTTAACTTCTTCAACTTGGACCTCTTCCACACGCACGCGGTGCTCAATCAGTCTTAAACAATTTAAAACTTCGTCGTCTATGTATACATCTTGAAGAGCACTTATCCGCCCTAGTATTTCCAAAAAACCCTCAATATGTGTCAAAATCGTATCTGCAGAAAACCCACGTTGATCGATTTGATCTGCTGATGCTAGCATGCTACCTCGGAGCCCACCGATGTCTTCCATTATATCAACACTCACGTCCCTTAGCCACCCTTCTTTTGCACACGGCTCTGTTGTATGTTAGGTGTAGCCACGCCCCCTGATTTGCATATAAGAACGTGAAACGTAAAACAGCATTATGAAATAAGTCTCTGGAAATGAAAAGTGGCATTATGAAATAAAAGTAGCATGAAATAATTAAATTTATTTAATATTTATGTATTTATTGCATTATGAAATAAAAGTACAATGAAATAATTAAATGTATTTAATATTTATGTATTTAGAGCCTCATTTATTTATTTCATGATGTATTTCAAATGCATATTTCATGTATTTACGTATTTATTCATTTATTTAATTTTGACTAAAACGGCATTCCATAGTTTTTTGGTTCTAAACGAAAAACGAGAAAACGACTGTCCACTTCCGTTTTACCGT